TTTCTAGAGCCAGCAGGTTGATTCTAAAATTCACACAGAAGAACAAGCAGCCCAGAAAGGCCGAGCATCAGCAAGGGGTCTCGGCGGCCAGCTGGTGCCGCCCGCCGCGAGCCCCCGAGTCGGACGGGGCGGCACAGACCAGAGCGCGGCACCCGGCCAAGGCGGTGTCTCCGCGGAAAGACGGGCTTCTTAATCAACAGTGTTTGAACCACAGAAGAGCTGTTCCAGCAAGGACCAGCTGGCCCCACCCCTCCCGCCGCGCTCCAGGCTAAACTCCAGCGGAAATGCAGGTACCAGCCTTTCTCGTTATGACAAAATCCAGAGGCAGTAAAGGAAAGTGCTGCTAAATCCAACCACGTAACAACAGAACTTCCACGGGACAGAAATCACGAGAAGCAGGACGAAACGGCTGCCGCTGAGGTCGCGTCTGCGTCTCCTGTGTCAGATGGAGGACTGGCCTCCCTGTGTCACTCTCAAAGGCCGCTGGAAAGCGGGCAAAAGACATGGACAGTTTGCTGGAAAAGAAGTGCAGCACCATTGGGCATCGTGACAGGTCCCCACCGTCACTGGTGCTCAGAGAGATGCGCGTACAGCTGTCAGACACGCTGCCTCGGACCCGCGTTACAAAGCCCAGTGTGACAACCTCCCTGCCGTCGGGGAGAGGGACATAGGAGCCCCCCGGGGGGAATCTGCTGACACCTAACAAAACCAGAGGTGCATCTGCCCTCTGACCCAACGATCCCTCCCCAGCTCCTCGCCCTGACCACGTACCCACGGCTTGAAACCAAGTGCACACATCACGGCAGTCAGCTGGGAGCAGCCCCATCTCTGTCGCTGGTGACAGGCGGGGTGCACTGGGTCACGCGGGAGTACACACATGTAATTAAGGAGCCCAGAAGGACCCGATCCCTCTGGGGACTGAAGAAGCGCCAGGATAAATTAAGTTTAAAAGAGGAAAAAGGCAAAGTACAGAAATGTGATTAGACTGAGTGACCTGTTTTAGAAGGAAGGAAGGTTGCCTGTGGGAGGAGCAGGGAAGCCATGGTGGGACCACGACTCCTCTGAGTTTGCCTGTGGGCTGGTTTGACTTTTGAGCCATGTGAAAGTTTCGTATTTTCAAAAATACTATTAGCAGGGAAAAAAGCGTCAGAGCCTAAGACTGAATTCAGACAGAGACCATTCAAGTTGACTGCGCAGCAAACCAGCAGGGCCGCGCAATAAGAAGGTACTGTCCCTCTGGGCGGGAGGCAGAGCGGCCTCCCCTGCAGGTCCACTGCTGGTAGGACGCTGGTCTGGTGCTTTCGAATACTCGTGTGTTGTGAGAGAGAACTAAGCCATGACTATATTCAATGTCACCAGGAAACAAGATTTTTAGACTAAGAGAAAAATAATGGAAATATAAAATAACAGAGGTTAAGAAAAAAAAACGCTAGAATGTAAAATTTGATTATACGTTCAAGATCTTTAAATATACACGTATTTCTCAGCTCCACTGAAGAGCTTGGAAGTAGTGATACCCCAGCAGGAAAGGGTACAGGAGCCCTCCGATCTTGATTTCTATGTACAGCTCCCCTCCAAGCATGAGGGCACATCGGGGCAGGGACAGGACCAGCTGAGCCCGGGCCGTCTCAAGCATCCGACGGGAGAGGCTGACAGCATGGTGTCCAGGAGCACAGGTCAGGGTCACGTTGAGCATTGGGGAGTGATACAGCCAGCATTCTGTAGGCAGCGACAAGCTCTCGTCCTCCATAGGGCGTACGGGCAGGCACAGGTGAGAGCCCCGGCGTGACCTCGGGCCCAGCAGGGACCGGCCAGCAGTGCTGACCCACAGGTCAAAGGTGCTGGGGCTGATACTTGCAGCACTTCTTCCTGCCCGGGGTCACCTGCCTCCCAGGAAGCACTGAGCCGCGGCGAACCGGGCTGGACAGCGACACCATGTGCTCCTGAGCTCACGCCCGCTGACACCACAGGAAACAGGCCCACAGACCATCTCCCAGACAACGGACCTGGACTGCAAACAGTCAGTGTCGGGGGGAGAGGGCGGGACTGTCCTGGTCCAAAGAGGCTGGAGTGCAAGGTGTGCCCCCGCTGCTCTGAGAACCTCAGCCCTGGGAGCGTCTTATTGGGACGGTTCAGGGAGACGCCGGGAGAGCACCCAGCGTTCTGGCTGTCTTAGGGGCACGTGGGACTGTGGGTGTGTGGGAGACGGCCCTTACGTTTGAAATGCCAGAGTATCTAAGGGTGAAGGGTCCCCTCAATGTCTGCTCCTCGCTTTCAGATGCTTCCAGAAAATGATGCCCGTGTGTGCGTCCCACCCCCCGTCAGCATAAACACGCACACAGACGCACGGACACGCAGGTCAACCACGGAGAACCTCGGTGTTTACCGCACTGACCCTTCAGCTTTTCTGTATGTTTGAAATTTCTCGTGGCAAACCTTTGGGAGCCAAGAGGATCTATGCTGGAAGTGATGCAGGGCGTGTGTGTGAGGACTGCCCTGGCCCCCGCCAAGCCCATGGGAGGACAGCGGCCCCGGGGGGAGGCTCTCACCAGTGGGGTCTGTCATGAAACTGGACGGATGGCTGATCTAAAACTCGAATGCACGCTGAGAGGACTGAGAAAATGCAAGACGCCGGCGGAGAGGGTGGCCGAGGGCACAGGGTGTTGGCGAGACTGGGCAGAGAGGCCCCAAGTGGAAGAAGAGAAGCCGACCGAGTGCTCAGGGCTGGAGCTGAGCTGAGCCTGCGGTCGGGGGACAGAACGGGCATCAGAGAACGGTGCACAGACGTCTCACTGTCCCCAGAGAGAAGGAAGTTAGCAGAACCTGCTCCACGCACACCAGGCCCGCGCAAAGCCAGCGTTGGACATGAGCCAGGGCTTAGCGGCGCTGCATCTCTACGGGCGGTTGAATGAGATAAAGGAGACGCACCTTGAAGGCCGGCGGGTAGTCCTGAAAGACCTCCAGGATTCTCGTCACGCTGAAGGACAGGTACCCGGAGGCCGCAAACAGCAGTGGGGACGCCAGGCTGCAGATGGCGGTCAGCACCTCCACCTGGCGGGAGGCAAGAGCGAGGTGTCGCTGCTGCTGCGCAGGCGGAGGGCGCGGCGGGAGGACCACGTGGGAGAACTGCTGAGTTGACGTGGGTCCAGTTCGGCGTGGGGGAGGCTACTGAAGTCTCTGCACTTGGTTTGCCTGTTAATCCCAAGTGCCCCGTGTGTCTCACGTGTGCTTTCTCAACTTATGCACAACTCTCCACTTTGTTGAAAAACAGCACTTATGAACAGACAGCCTCCTTCCGGGGGCCTCAGACCTGATCTCCTAAGACGCTGCCCCCATTGGAGGGCGATACTGGACCATGCCAGAGGCCACGCCGAGCCCCACCCTTTGCCCAGTCACAGGACTCATGCTTTCTGCTTATTTCCACAGACAGTCCTGCCCTGTGACAGCCACGGCCCGCCTCGAGCCTCCCTACCCAACCACCCTGCGGACGCCTCTCAGCAGCTCAGCCCCCACCCCACCCCCAGCCGGGGCCTGCAGCCTGGCTCCCTAGTGGAGCCTTGTCATGTGGCGGCAGCCGTGGAGCCAGGCAGTTCCCCGAACCCCGGTCCACCTACCAGACACCTGCTGGGACACTCTGCTGTCACATGACTGGCAATGGCGCTTGGAAAACACTAAGAGAATAGGAAAGAGGAAGACTTCAGAGATGACAGCCCAGGAAGTCGGATCCCAGACGTGTGCTCTTGCGTTCTGACTGGGGCCACCCTTGTCACCAGGAGAGGCCGGGCGGAGAGGGGCCAGGCCAGGCGGCTGCAGGGCTCCTGTGCTCCCTGCTCCCCAGCTCTGCAGAGAGGCTGCAGGACCATGCGGGGGATGCTGGGTGCCCTGGAACCCGCACACCTGCTCTCTGGGACCAGCCCCACATCTGCTGTGCGGGTCAACCCAGCATCGCACCGGGGAGACCACACGGACCCAACAGCCCCATCCGAGGCAGGGTCTGTGTTGGAACTGGCCCCAGGACGTCCGGTCACAACCGAGTTTGCTACTGGCTCAGGAGCCAGTGGTCACGCTTCCTAGTTCCTTTTCCCATTTGCTGGTCTCCGTGCTGGGAAGACGTGGCATTTCTGGGGAGCGCCCAGCTGGCTGCAGGCAGGCTCGGGTGGGTGATTGGGCCAGGGGGCCCAGGAGACTGCAGACCCCCGTCCACCACGCTCTGACCCCTGGGTTCGGTGGGTCTTTGTAGTCAGTAAACACCTTTTCCCACTTATTTTAAGGAGCGTGATTTTAGTCATACACGATTCCAGCAGAGGGAAGCTCAGGGGAGCATAGGTCTCCTCCGAGGTTGCTGAATGCTGGGCCCGCCTTCCTGCCACCACCTCGCCCCCTACCCTGGGATCCAGGTGCCCAGCCCAGCACAGCCTGCTGAGCCCAGGACCCCAAGTGTTACCCATCCACACACATCCCCCACAAAGGCAGAGGAGTGTCCACACCCTGGGCAGCAGTGGACCCCTCCTCGTGGGACTGTCTCAGACCCCTGAACACACCAGGGGGCTCCTGCATTTGTTAGGGGCTTATAAGAAGATGAGTCAGACAGGTGGGCTCAGGGCAGTGAGAGCCTGGGCAGCAGGAGGAAGACCAAGGAGGATGCAGACCAAAGAAGGCGGCGAGAGCAGCCATGCAAAGGCCCTGGGGCGAGAGGGACAGTGGCGCCTGAGTGGGGCCAGGTGGGGGGTGTGGGCCTGGCGGGGGTGCTGGGGAGGCTGAGGTGTCAATGCAGGGGTCTCTCCTAGGCTATTTTTCCAGCAGGCTTTCTGCCGAGCAGGAGTGAGAGCGGAGGAGGGGCCATGGATGGGACCAACCAGTTCAGAACCGCCTGCAGTGGCCCGAAAAGCCCAGGGGAGGGCAGCATCTGCTTTTCTGTCCAGTCCAGCCTAACCCTGGCCTGGCAGAAAACCTGGCCACGGGTCAGGGCAGTGCGTACACCACCCAGCCCAGGACAGGCCCCAGGGACAGGGTGTCAGGGACCCTCAGCCCTGGACCCCTGCCTGGCGCCCCTGGTCTATGCTGGAGGCCTCTCCCACTGCCATCTGCCCAGATGGGGGCACGTGGAGCTGGCTCAACACCCCCTCCCCCGGAAACCCCACTCTGCGTCCTTTCCCCTCCCCCTGGGGGCTCCCTTGCCTGCTCCTAGCTCTTCCAGAGCTGTGGGGGAGGGAGTGGTGGGTGGATTTAGGGCCAGCCAGGAGGAGGGAACAGCGCTAGTTGGGTGTGGGGTGGGGACCAGGGGAGAGGAAGAGGCAGGAGGGCCTCAGGATGAGGACAGGTCTCAGGGAGAAAGTGCTGGAAACACTGAGGCTGCCAAGCACCTCTCCCTCTTGTCATGAACCTTCAGGAGGCCTTAGGCTCCATCCATCCTCACCAGCCGCCCCACAGGCCATGACTCCGGGACTTCCTCATCACAGAGGCCGGACGTGCAGACAGACAAGCCTCCCCAGGAGCAGCAGGCCTGTCGCTTGTCTGCAAGTCCCGCCTGTGCCCTGGCAGCAGCGGCCTGGGTGTGGCTCTCTCTCCCCGGGCCCTGTCTTAGGGGAGCCCCTCAAGCCAGCAGGTCTTGGGTCCCAGGGAGGCCACACAGGCACCACTGGGACGCTAAGCCCTGGGACCCAGTGGCCATCCAGCCCCAGCATCCGTCCCTCGGTCTCCAGGAGGCAGAGGTGAAGGTCAGCGTGAAGGCCACACCCTTGCGGCAGCTTCAGGCAAGGAGCAGGTGGCTGAGGATGCTCAGGGCCTGGCACTTGCAGGATCAACCCCAAACTCCAGGAGCCCAAAGCACAGGTGGGCGTCGGTTTGGGGGGCGTCTCGTGACACCGGGAAGTTCGGGAGTGAGGGGCACATGGCCACTGTCCCAAGCGTCTGTGGGGGCCCAGACCCCGCCGGGAGGCCCAGCCAAAAGGAGGCCGCAGTCTGGGGGCTGTGGCTCCACAGGCTGCGCTTCACTTAACAGGAAACAACATCAAAGTATGTAAGTAAGCTTGGAATTACTTATGAAATGACAAAAAGGGCTGTGGTGAAAACAGTGACCACGCAGTAAGCACTTCCTGAGCACTAGGTGTGATCTTAGCATTGACTATGGTAGCATTTGATGAGGAAAAAATATGTTACACTTTGTAAAATGTAGTATGAAACAACAATATGAAGGTCATATGCTATACAATTATTGTTTCAAGTGCTTTTCAGGAAAAATAATACAAAAAATATAAAATAACAACAGCAGCTAACACATCGCCCACTGAATTCTGGGTTCCCAGGTCCCTCCAGCCTGGGCCCCAAGGACCCCAGGCCAGCAGCCAGGGCAGGGGGTGTCCTGCTCTGACTGCCTGCGACCACCCCTTCTCCTCCAGCTGCTTCCTGCCCGGCCTGACTCCCGCAAAGCTGGGCTCAAGGGCCAACAGGATGCATAGCCCAGGGCGGTGGGGTGACTGTGCAGCCCGGCCAGCCTCGAGGACAAGGGCTGCCCAGGAGGTACTCACGGCCACTAGGATCCAAAAGAACGTCACAGAGAGGTGGGGGCCCGAGACGGCGTCGTCCAGGTTCAGAGCGATGACCCCTCCAAGGACGGCGGAGATGCCAGCGATCACCTCGATGACCTGGAGGCAGATCATCTGTGTCATGGGGTGGAGGGGCCGGCTCCGCGGGGTCCCTGAGAGCGAGGAGGGGAGGGAGGGGAGGGAGGGGCGGGTCCCTGAGAGCTCAGGGCGGAGGTGCTGGCACCCATGCTGAGATGTTGAGGATAATCTCCCAAGGAATACTGAGAATGCATATTTCCAACCCAAACTTGTAGGAAAAGGAAGGAAGAAGCTCCTGCCAGTTCAAGGAAAGTGGGAAAAGGCACAGAAAATAGGCAACAAAAAGATGGAGGAATAAATGTGACAGTGTCAGGAATCGCACTCTGGGTGAACGGGCCCGGGCCCGGAGAGACCGTGAGCAGAGCCCAGCGCGTGCAAACCGCCCACTCGGGAGGCTGGGAGGCCCCGGGTGGGGCGGGAAGGCACACTAGGAAGTATTGGCCGGAAGGTAACTGGCATCCTAAAACAGTGTAGGTTTCGTGGCAAAAGCCTCTACTGAAGAGAGTTGCCCGGAATGATGGAAAAACAAGGAAAGAGGAAGGAAGGCCGACCTCATTTGTGACTAAACCCAGGCCCCAAAACTGCGGGGAGAAAAGCTGCAGAGGGACCCAGAGAGACCGCAGTTCTGACGGCTCAGTAACAGGACGCGTAGACTGAGCTGTTTGAAAAAGGCACAAAAGACTTAGAACACAACTAACAAGAGAGGGTGGCCATAGAACTTATCCTTCAAACCAGGACGCTTTGAGAGTAAAGGGGATGTCCCGTCCACCAGGACAGTGCGAGTCAGCATGGACGCGCCTGCACCATGTTTATGTACCATGTACCGTCCAGCACCCCCCCCCCCATGAAGTGAAACAAGGAGAAAGAAAAGCTCCTCTTACTGAATAGGATTTCAGGACCCGAGCAGGAAATGTCACTTCATACAGAGGGTTGGCACTCTCAGAGACGGAACCCTAAAAAGAAACAAGACCTCATCACAGGGGCGGCCATCTGTCCATCCAGCCCCTGGCACAGTGGGCCGTGCCCAGGCTGTCACTCAGGTGGAAGTCACTGCCGGTTCTTCAGGTTTGAGAGCAAAAGCTCAAGTGCAGACTTTCTCTTTGCATATGACTTGGGTTCCACTGCTGGAATCCTAGTCAACAAGGCGATGCTGTCAGCGGACTTGGTCTCTGCCTGTGACACTTGGGGATCAAACGAGGTGGTGCTGCATCCTGGTCCTCGCTCCCCCCACACCAGGCCTCTGACCTGCCTGCGGGGGGAGCATGACCCCTGGCTCTGCAGCCAGGTCAGTGGAGCAGCCGGCCACAGGCTGGACCCACCTTTCGCTTGCCATGCGCCTCGCTAGACCGCGCGGAGATGATCACCGTGGCCGCCATGAACAGCTCCAGCAGCAGCAGCAGAATCAGGTTGAAATTGATCTGCCAAAGGAGGACACGTCCGTCTGTGAAACCAGCCTGTATCCCGCCAACGCCGACCACCCCGCAGACAGGCCGAGGTGCCTGCTACAAGTCTGGGCAGCTCTTCCTGTCCAAAGCCAGTCGCTAGGCAGGCACACCACCTCTGACTTTCGTGTGTCTCTGTGTTTGTTGGTGTTTGTTTTTAAAGTGACAAATTCATAGCAAACCAACACTGGAAGACGACGTTTTAACTTGGTGAAGGTCACACATCAAAACCGCAATGAAACTGTAGATACGACCCATTTAAAATCAGAATCAGACAGAGAGGCCCACGGTACTAAAAGTCCTGGACAGAGCTATTAAGAAAAAGGAGAAAGAGCGTAAGACTGAACGGGACCATCTAAACTGTCATTAATTACAGACAATACGGTGACCTGCGCAGAAAAACCAGCATAACCCACAGGAAAGTTTCGGCAAAGTTTCAGGGCACAAAGTCCACTTACAAAAAGTCCATTTTAAAAAACTGGTACAGTTTGAACAAGGTCTGTACCCGAGTTAACACTTGCCAATGTCACGTTCCTGATTTGCCAAAGTAAGATGCTGTCATTGGGGGGAGCTGGATGAGGGGTACCCAGAAATGCTCTGGACTATTTGTGCTAATTCTTCTTAGTCTTTAAATATACAAAATAAAGAAAAAATTAAAACTGATAGCCTCTCTCTGCACCAGCAAGAATCCATCTGAAAATATAACTTAAAAAAATAAAACACCATTTGCACCAGCAACAAAATCTGTGACTCCTCTAGGAATTACCTAACCAAGAATTCACAGAGCATTCGATGCCAACAGGGGACCGAGGAGACGGGGTGAGTAAGTGGGGAGGCCGTCTACGTGTTGGTGACAACATAACAATGATGTCCATCCTCACAAAATTATTCTATGAAACTCCGAGTGACCAGAACAGAATCCCTGCTGTATTTTTTGAGGCGCCCAGTAAACTTATTCTGAAACATGTCTGAAGTAGGAGAGGTCACCTTTGAAGCAGGAAGGCAGTTGGAGTTAGGAAGCTTCGGTAAGAAGCCTGGTGTCACATGGGCAGCGAGCAGCTCGTGGGGGAATCTGACACAGGGTGTGAAAGCCAGTCCTCAGCCCGAGGGCAGGAGTGGGCAGGGGTGCGAACGGCCCACGAGAGGGGGAAGCCCAGGAGGGTGAGAGCCCATGAAGGCCTCAAGTTCAGCTCTGCAGGGCCTCCTGTGTCACCACGTGTGACGCTGTGCTTGGATGCCAGGGGTGCCGACCTGTGGTCCCAAGTCCTTCCGTGTGTCCGGGTGTCAGGGTTGCGAGGCCTCCCCGCAGCCTGGCTCCAGCCCCGGGGGAGGAGCCTGAGGGCCAGGTTAGCGGCAGGCGCTGGCGCGGTGGCCTCTGTCCGGGGTGCGGCAGGGAGGGCCGGTGAGGGACACCGTGGGCCCATGGGCCACGCTGCAGAAGGCTGGGCAGCGTCCTTCACCACTTCCTCGTCATACTGTGTGTCGGGGCGCTCTTCTGAGTAACGAGTGCTGTGGTCTTTGTTTGGGTTCGGGGCTTCCCCGGCGAGGAACACACCACCTGGTCGTACGCATGCGTGTTTCTCCAGGGTTTGTGCTGTGAGGTTTCCAGTGTGTGTGCTTCTTCGGAAGGGCCTGCAAATTCCAGACTGTTTTCCAAAGAGCCAGCAGCAGGTACAGAGTGGCCAGAATGAGGGAAGCGCCGGGGCTTCTGCCCATCTGATACTGGAAACAGCATCTCCTTGTGGTTTTAATTTCCCTCCCGCTGGCGCTGTGGTCTCCTCCCCAGCGAGTGCTCTGCGTGGACTCCTGTTGCCCTCAACCTTCCCCCAGGTTCTGTGGCCAGAGCTCCTCACCTCCCCTGGGACTGGCCACCGTCCCAAGGGAACTGGTCCCCGTCCTTACACCGTGTGCCCCTCGTGTCTGGGCTCTGGCGTTCCGGGCTGGATCTGCGTGGCAGGCGGGTGGGCAGAGGCCCAGAACCAGGGTCCCGTTCAGCACACGTGAGACTCCTCAGGCTGACCTGGTCTGGGCACGGCTCTCCCGTCCCGGCTGAGTGGTGAGGCTGAGTCCCCACCTGCTCTCCGGTGCGGCTCCGTCCCCGGCCCTGGGTCTACCTAGACCTGCGGGGCCTGGCCTGCAGGCGCCCTGACCCTGGACACCCTGGACATGCACCACCACCTCCACTCAGGGTCTCTTTGGGAAAGAAGCCTCGCAGTTCTCAGTGAGGCTTTATGCTTTTCTACAAAACAGGCTCCAGACCTTTGGGGACACCTGTTCCCAGGAACTCCGTATTTATTTCTGTAAGATGATTTCTGTGTTTTAATAACATTTTCAAAACTTTCTGTTTCCGGCACAAACAATTATTTCACATTGATGTTCACATACAGCCACCTTGCTACGTGTGCTGAATAATCCGAATGTCAAGGAAGCAGCACGTGGTCTCTCCTGCACATGATGGTGGCACAGGTGTTCCCTTCAGGCCTACCTGTCTGTCCCTAACGCCTGGCTGAGACATCCCAGGGCCACCCCACCCTTTCCCGATCTTAAAGAAAATGTGTTCACTATTGCACACAGAACAGAGGCACTTCTGATCAGTCCCATTTCTCTATGAGATTCTTCTCTGTTGCATCGTAATTTAAATGACAAGACTTTCCCATTTTTCTTAGCAGAACATAAAGCAACAGCGCGACTTAAGACTTACAAAGGCAGCATCACAGATCTGATGAAGTAGGTTATTGTGTTACCATTAATGTTTAAGAATTGCGGTGAAAGGGATTCAGAATCTGAAAATCGTCCACTAGAATCAGTGAGAGTTAAAGATAATTCTTCTCTTCAGAAGCTTAAACAAAAGCCTCAAAACTGGTCAATCTCAAGAGCGACGATACACATTTCCTGTGTGCATCCCATCACTGACGTTTTCTACCCAACAGATCGAGCTCTCGGACACCAGCTCCGGCCCCACAGGGCTCGGCACCTGTGTCTGTCAGAGGAAACAGGAAGCATTGGGACCCACGTGGCTTCGAGACCAGAGACTCACGTCTACTGCAGACGGGTTCAGGACCAGTTTGCATCCAAACCAGATCAAACAAGTAGTGGTAATAGCAAACGTGGAAACAAACAGTATCTGAAAGTTTGGAATCTGAAAAACAAGACAGGAGGGTTTTCCTGCTCAATCCCGTTCCTGGTCATTAATTGACAACCCCAGGGACGGGACGTGGCTCCCAGCCTCCCAGCCCCGCCCCTGTCAGGTCTCTGGCACTGCCTGGGCAATGGGGGCAGGAGGTTGGACTCACCACATTGACATTTCTCCCTGAGACGGCAAAGCTCACAATGGCCGAGGGGACACACTGAAAAGAGAGCAGGTTGAGGTGGTGTGCCCACTGTCACTCTGTGCCCTGAAATCCCAATGGCCCGAGACCTGTCACCTGCCACCAGATGCAGGGGTTCTGCTCCACCCTGAAGGGTCTCAAGCCTTTCAAAATACATATTCTGCAAATAGTTTCATTTGTTCTGATGAGATGAAGAGATGTCCAGCGATGAAGCCTGTCCCAGCCGGACATGCTTGGAGGTCGGATGTGGCTTCCTGCTGCCCGAGACCCAGTGCGTCTGAGTCAGAATTGCCCAGGAAGGTGAAACACCCCCGGAGCCCCTCGCCTCCACCACCCCACCCTGGAGTGGAGGGTGAGGAAGAGGACGAGCCTGGGGGGCTGGGCACTGGGGAGTGGATGGGGGAGCTGGGCCACCGAGGGCTGCAGGGGAGCCTGGGGGACCACGTGAAACATCTCCCTAGCCCGTCACCCCTGAGGGTGAAGGATACACTGAAGATTTTTCTGGGACATTGGCCTGACTCAGAGGTCACTGTGACCCCCCAACCAGGGCTGCCTCAGCGGTGAGGACAATGGGCCACCTAGAACGTTCCAGAGAGAACAGCAGGGAGTGAGTCAAATTCTTCCCAAGAGTTTCTGTCTAAGAGAGCAGAGGCTGGACAACAGGGGTGGGGCACAGGGTAAGGGAAGGTGTCTGTGTTGTATCTTCACATATTTGGGGGTGCTGACAGCTGGAGCAGGAGTCGGGGGCGAGAGGGCCCCCCCACAGGACCCCAGGGCATATGCCCTGTGCTCAAGCTGGCCGGGGTCCAAGGTGGTCTCTCTATGAGGACCAGTGGCCCCCCAGGCCCCGGCACAAGCTTTGGGGAGGGGTGGGGGTGCAGCCACAAACCACGCAGGGCGGGTTCCCTGCCAGCCCATGGACAGCTGGGAGCAGCACGCAGCTGCAAGTTGGAAATCCAAGTGCCCTTTCTTGCCCTGGAGTCTGTGGAGCAGGACTCAGACTTGCTTCACTGATCATTTTCAAACATGAATGCTATTTGAAGCCAATGTATATGAAGAGACTTTTAGGGGAAAGGGGTGGGGAGGGATAAATTAGGAGTTTGGGATTAACAGATACACACCACTGTCTATAAAATACATAAACAACAAGGACCTACTGTAGCACGCAGGGAACTATATTCAATATCTTGTAATAACATATAATGGAAAAAAATCTGAAAAGAAAAGAATTATATATGTATGTGTAAATATAACTGAATCGCTTTGCTGTACACCTGAAACTAATATTGTAAATCAACTACAATTCAGTAAAATATAAAATTAAAATAATGAAAGCATATGAAGAGATTTTTGAATGAGGAGCGAGTAACAGCAACAGGTAAATCTCAGTGCAAAAACCTCAGACTCAGAGCTGCAGACTTTGGTGCTAACAGGAGCATTACTCACCGAACCCGCAGCACAACGCAGGTAGTCCATCTCAGAAGGAAACACATTTCCCAGGTAGAGTGAAAACCCTGAGGTCACGAGCAGGCAGCTCTGTGAAATGGCAGCACAAATTCAGGTGATGACACAGTGGGGTGTGAAGAACAGATGGTTGAACAACTAGCCTTCTGACTATAACTTACCTGTACAACACCGGCCTCCACACCTGGATCCCACCGGACCTGACTCCTCCCTGAAGGACTGCAGTAGCCCACCCTCCCCCAGGGCCAGACGATGGGCTGCAACACTTATCTGGGGGAGGAAGACTGTCAAAATTTAAAGCAAGAAATGGTACCTCTCCCCAGAAAATGCCTTCACCCCAATGTGTACAATTTCAGGGGCCCAGGTCCAGGCACAGAGCCAAGCACACAACCCCATCCTGCTCCAGGCCCAGGGTGAGGCCGTGGGGTGGAGGTCAGCGGTAAAAGGTCACTCAGACCCAGGGTCTGGGCAGGGGGTTGTGCTCACCCCAGACAGTGGGAGCGCTGGGGCCTGAGGGCCTGGTAGGCAGAAGAGACCTGGGCACACACCCAAATGAGGAGGGGATATGGGACCAGGTGTTGTGGCTGCAGGCCGCTGGGCCGCTGCACAGAGTCCAGGACCCCAGGAGTGAGAGGAGGCTGACCAGCCGCCCACCACCCACCGCAGGGCCTGGAGGGAGGAGCATCCTCTGCGAGCCACGTGGTGGAGGCTCCAGTCTCTGTGGGACGGGGTCACGGCTTGGGGGAATGGGAGGGCAGGACCACTGGGGGTGCTTCAGGGCTGGTCTGTGCAGCCTGAGGTGGGGGGAGGGACAAGGTCCTGGCCTGGATCCTGGATCTTGGGCGAGCCCTGTGGTCCTGGCCACAGAGAGGCAGGTCCAGCGGCCAGCCCAGGCAGCCGCGCCCACTCAGGCCAAGGTGTCTGCATGCCTATCCAAGCACGTCAGAAGGAAAATGTCCCAGGATGCTAGGCCAGGTCCCCTCAGGCCTGCCCCCCAGCTCTCTGCTGGCCCCATCCCTCTGGCCCCTTGGCCTTCTCCTGCCCCAGGGCCCTGCCCTCCTGCCTCAGAACACTGTCCCACTATTCAGTCTGCAAGAGGCCTGTCCTGAGAGCACAGCAGCCCCTCCCCATCTTTGCAGACCCCCAGGAATCGAGAGTCGTAGAGGCCACCCTGGCACAACACAGGATCCCGCAGACTGTCAGCATGGGCCTGGGCTGTTCCAGGCCCCCTGGGACACAGAGCAGCCACAGCCAGAGGCCAGCAGGGCCGGCATGATAGATGCTCATGAACTGAGGAAAAGAACTCAAAGAACTCAAGCAAGTAAGTGCACCTGTGCCCCTGAGGCTCTCCAGAAGCAGGAGTAACCCAGGCTACCTGAGAAGGACACCCAGGCAGGGGACACCCTTGGGGGATGATGCTTCCATGGTCCTAGCACAGAGCTACTCACCCCCATCAGCACGGAGAAGACCCAGGTCTTGTGGCTGAAGCACAGGGGGAGCCGCGTTGCCAGCTGAAGTTCCCTGGGCCTGGCGTCTGGGGTGCAGCTCCCCACGTCTGGCCTTCCACGCTCCAGGGTGGGCGTCCGGTCATAGCCCAGCTCCTCCCTGCACTGCGCCTCCCGGGACATGGCGCTTGGGGTGCAAACACTGACGTTAGCAGCCCCAGCTCCGCAGTACTTACATGTCCACTTAATTGTTATAAAATTGTACTGGGAAGAACAGATCTGACTCCTTACTGGATCTGCTTCTTTGGCTCTAACCCTGGGCTCTGTTTCCCGTGCTGAGTCTTGCTGGTTCTGCACCTTCTGTAAAAGAATGTTGCCTACAGCCTAAAATACACAGGCGAGCCCATTCTCAAGGCTCTGACCTTTAAGGGTGTAACGCTTTCCCATTCATACAGAGATTTTAAAAGATTGAATAGAAAATAACATTTGTGCTGTTGGAGGGTTACAGGACACTGTGACCTGACCTAGGTGGACGGCTGCAAGAACAAAAGATTCAGGCACCAAGAAGTTTGCAACAACCAAGCACACCCCCACCCCCTGTTTAGTATAAAAGGAGCCTGAATTCTGACTTGGGGAAGATGGTTCTCCAGGACCTGAGTACCCCATCCTTTCCATCTGCCAGCTTTCCAGATAAAGTCATTATTCCTTGCCCCAACACCTGGTCTCCTGATTCACTGGCCTGTCATGCAGTGAGCAGAACAAGTTTGGACTTGATGACAAAATGACAAATTTTACTTCTGATCACTCTGAAAAAATCTCCCAAATAAGTTGTTTTCAATAAATACTTGTTTTTAAGGTGCTTTCAATAAAAGAAATATCATTTATATTGAAGTACTGTGAATCTGCAGAAGAAAATAAGCACTTGATTCCACAAGTGAATAAAATCACTTTTCCAGGAAAACAAACTGGAACAATCTGGATTCAGGGCAGGATTTTAGGCTTTAAAAGTGCCTCACTGGTCCAGTCCCCTGTACATTTCAACTTTCACTTCCCTTAGCTGCTTTAATTACGAGTCCCGTGATGTGCTGTTTACTCCAAGCATGTTAAATCTCTCAGGGTGGTAAGAAGAGATCGCAGACATGCACCACATAAGGGTCCACATCTGTACACTTACCTCTGCGGTGGTTCAGGCATTAGGAGCGCTGGTCTCTGGGTGAGGGTTCCCCTTACCAAGTCATCCTGCCTTGGGCTTCCAGCAAGAACTATTCACAGACAAACAAAAGCCCAGCAGAACTGCACTTAAGCCAGAGGAGGAGCACCGCTCCCTGAATTTCAATGAGGAGCTGAAGCGAGGGGTCCTGGAAAGTTCTTCAGTGGTTGTGTAACTGCTGGCTCTGAGCTCTGCTCCATCCAGTGTTAACTCCACGAGGAGCAGAGGGACATCCCTGGGTCCACTTGTGGCAAATAGGTTGCAGGTGCCGAGGTAGGCAGCCCAGAAGAAAAGTGTACCTAAGAGTAGAATTCTACCAAGCACAGGATCCTGGCAGGCCAGAGGGCCAGGTGCTTAACTGTTTCAGAAACAAGTACATTTTTATCCAAAGCCGTCTTACACATCCTTTCAGGCAGCCATTTCCCAGCCCCCGTGGTCCTGTGAGGAGGACGTCCTGCACAAGGTGACACACACATTTGTGCTCAACTTGGCCAGCCTGGCCCTCCAGCTGCTTGGAATTCTGAACCCCGGCCCCGTGGGCAGCTCCAGGTCCTGCTGTGCCCTTTACTCCCGCTCACCAAGCAGAGAGAAGGGCAGGCACGTACTTCGCCCAGAGACGCTGGCGCCCCACAGTTACAGCGACAGGCTTTGTGCTCAGGGAAACCGTAATGTGGCTCAAACCAGAGCATTCTAAAAAACCGCTCCTCAAACCACAAGCCCACACAGAGCCTGAGCAAAGGCTTGGGTTTTAAATCATGGGAAACTCTGTCATCTTGGTTTTTCAACCAAACAAGAAGGATTAGAATTACTTTTCACAAACTTTGAAGTTAAGAACAAATTTTGAACAGATTGGAAAACCTCGCAAACTTCTTGACTATCTTTTAAAGCAATAAATGGAACCAGCAGGAATTGTGTGACCAACTGAACCCTTTGCTTCTCTTTTTGTTTGAAGAAAAGTGTTTAGCAGATTTCATCATTTCTGTGCCTTTCCAAAGTTTTCTCTACTAAGAAACACCAAAAAGCTGCCTTGAACCAGAGACTGTGAGACAAATGCGTCAAGTCCCCACAGTCACGAAGCAACCCGGAGAGGAACTTCCTTGTTTCTGCTGGCAATGCCACTTCCTAGAGCGAGCCCCGTTCTCACAGACACGCCTGTCCTCCCCCTTCTGCCTGCTGAGGTCCTGCTCATGTTTCAACGTTTACACCGTCATTCAGTGAATATTTTCAGAGTGAACAGAGCAGGCCTCAGTCCTGCCCTCGCAGGTCCACGTTCTAATGAGGGGACAGGCGCACACAAGGTAAATAAATGGGTGTGTTCTATGGTGGTGCACTTGACTTTCTCTGTGATGGTAGATAAGCTGGGGGAGGGTATCGGGGTGCTGTTTGGGGCAGTCAGAGCTGGCCTCACCTTCACCAGGAAGGAGGCAAGGAGGGGAGGGGACCAGAGAGCTGGAGCAGTAGGTGCAAAGGCCCTGAGGTGGCAAGACTGGAGGGTGGTAGACACAGGGATCATGTGTGGTAACATGTAGGTGAGGCATCCAGGTCCAAGGCACCTGTGGATTTGGAGACAACCTTGGCTTTGACACTGAGATGGACCTGCTGGAAAGTTCTGGGCAGAGAAGCATCCAGCCACTGGGTGGAGAACAGGATGTGGGGCAGCTGGTGAGAGCTGGTGCTGGCCGGGATAGAGGTAGAGCAGTGGAAATGGTGACAAGTGACCAGATTCTGGGCAGATTTTGAAAATCCAACCTGATCTGTAACGTGAGTGGTGTGAGGCGAGAGGAGCAAGAGTTCATGACACCAAAAGTTTCTCAGTCTGAGCGGTGCAGGTGGAGCTACCTCACCTGGGATAGAGAAAACCGGGGTCAGTAGTTTCATTTTGATGAGGCTAAGGAGTTTGTTGGATGTCCAGGTGGATCTGCTGATAAGTTGAGTTGAAGAGTCCAGAATCCAGGGGAGAGGTTCGGGCTGGCAGATGTGAGGGGCAGCCCTGTGAAGTGGAAACTCCCAGCGCACATCACCCTTGCTCTGGTTGCACATTCTTGTTCTAAGGATGTCTCTCCCCGTGTAACAGAAAAATCTGGAAAATCCCCCAAATATTTAGAAATTAAACAATATACTGCTAAAATAGGCCCTTGGGTCAGAGAAGAAGTCACAAAGGAAATTTGAAATTGAATGAAAATACAATACGTCTAATTCTGTGTGATACAGCTGAATCAGAGCTTAGAGAAATGAGTAGTTTTAAATGCTTATATTAAAAATGAAGAAAGGGGAGGAGGGTATGGCTCAGCAGTAGAGTGCATGCTTAGTAGGCACAAGGTCCTAGGTTCAATCCCCAGCACTTCTATTATAAATAAATGAATACACAAATAAACCTAATTTCCTCCCCCCTTAGAAAACAAAATATTAAAAAATAAAATTCTAAAATTCATTATCTAATCTTCACCTTAAAAAGTGAGAAAAGGATAAATCAAACTAAAAAAGAGGAGGAAGAGGAAGAAGAAGACAGGAAATAGTAGAGAAAAATCAATGAGACCAAAAGGGTTTTTTTTAAAGATAAATAAAATTGACAAACGTGTGGCTAGACTGATGAAGGCAAACAAGAGGAAATATATAAACTACTAACATCAGGAATGAAAGACAGTTCATCACTATGAATCATACAGACATTAAAAGGATGTAAGGAAAGATGAACAGATTTATGACAATAATTTGACACCTGGATGAAGGGAAAAATCTCTTAAAAGATGAAATTACCAAAGCTTACATAATATTGCTCAATATTGGCAACTTATTAAAGCCCTTTATCTAATGCAAAAGTTGAATTTGTTTAAGTAGATATACAACGTATATTTGATAGGCCACAAGACAGGCTGTTCTCATTAGCATAAAGTTCAAGCCAAATCATGTATAAGCCAGAAGCACTCTCCCATATACCAACGTGTGAAAATTTCTCCACCGCTCCGAGTAAAGATGCCACCCTTGACGAAACATTACTAAGCTGAATCAGTAAGCAAAAAGGATGAAAACCATGACCAAGGAAAGCATTTGACAGTGTATTTCACTCTTATTAACAGGCTAAAATAGAAAAGCCCATTTCAACAGATGAAGAAAATGCATTTGAGAAAATTCTACACCCAAGCATGATAAGAACGCTCAGAAAACTAGCAGACGGAGCACCCTCAACTTAATAAAGAACATCTGCCAAAGCCACACCTAACCACACAGGGGTAGGTGAAAGGCTCTGCCCTTTTCCCTCGTGGGAAGGAGGCAAGGATGCAAAGCACTTTACGAAGCCCCGCCCACCTGCTCGAGGCCCCGCCCACCAGCGGCGCCCCTCACACCGGGCATGACGTCACTCCCACACTGCACCTCTCCTCGCTTGCTGGCGCACTAACAGTCGCCAACGGCCAACCACCGTCGGCTAACAGTCTTGGCGAGCGCGACGACGCCATTGGCCAAGCTCGCCGGGGAGCAGGCGCAGGCGCG